CGAGGACATGTTCACAGCGTTGCAAGCATGTGTTTATTGCACACCCATGTGGGTGCTAGGCCAGCTTCTCCTGTTGTATCCTGTGAGCAAACACAACAGCATGTTGAGCCAGCCACAGAGTTCTCAGGAGGCCCTCACCATACCCCGAGTGATGCCCTTACCGAACCCCCAGGCTGCACCCCACCTCCACCACACTTTTCTTCAAGGGGAGCCAAAATCAACCCTATGACCATTGGCCTGCTATTGAGAATGGCAAGTGCCCCATCTACTGCAGCTGCTGGCAGAGCCAGGGCTGCCTGCAGTACCGCAGGCTGCTTGCTTGGTTGGCGTTGGTCTACAGACCTGTGCTGCCCAGCTGATCCAGCCCAGACACAGGCAGGCTGTCCAGGGAGCAGGGCTTGTCCGTGCATGCCTGGCACGGACCTGAGGCTGTCACACTGGTCTCATTTACCCACAGGCTCAAAGGAAAGTGATTTGACAAAGGCTGCTTGCCTACAATGATTGCCGGGGACAGATGACAGGAGACTAAAGTCTCTGAATTCCACAGTTGGCCGAGCTACTCGATCCTGTAACAGAAGATGGCAGGACAAGACCCTCCCCGTGCAGCCAGCCTCCACCAGCAGCTGCCGTCTGGCCTGGCGCACCATCAGAGGGAAGCACTCTGGCTCTCTAAAGACTCCCATGCATTGTGAAGTTCAAGCCAGAGCCAAGTCACCAAGCACCTAGAATCCAGCTGGAGCTGCACTCCACTTCCAGAACAGCCACCTAAACCTCCCGCAGCTCCAAAAGCCACTTTGAACTTGAAATGGGAGACAAAAACACGGTTTCAGGTCAAGTTCCTACTTCTTTCCTCTAAATCAACCCACTTTAAAAAAAACAAACAAGGACTACAGTAGCCAGGCGCAGGTGGCACACACCTGGAATCCTTGCTACTTGGGAGGGTAATGACTAGAGCTGGGGGCCATGGCACGTGCCTGGCTTCCTAGCCACCATGGGATAAAGCAGACCCTGTCTCAAAATCCACACAACACTGCATGACATATTAATTAGGGCATTACAATGTGTGACCATTACCTCTCTCTAGTTCTAGAATATGCTCATCATCCCAAAGGAAAGCCATAACCCCTAAGCCATCCCTCCACGCCCCGCTCCCTGCAGCCCTTTGCAACAACTACCTGTTTTCTGCCTGTAGATTTTCCCAGTTGAGATATTTTATACAATTGGAACTGTAATGCGTGGCCTTGGTGTAGCTGTCTTCTTCCAGGAAGCAGTGTTTTCAAGGTTCATTCTGTTGTAGAATGCATCATGTCCCTTCCTTAATAAATCACTCAGGGAAACTGAATGGAAACATTGCAATGAATGGACATACCACAGCTCACTTACCAAGGAACCACCAAGCCGAATCCACATTTTCTTCTCTTGTCTGTGGATGGTGTATAGGTGGCACCGCTGGGCATTGCTTAGTTGATCCCTTCACAACAGACTGGCCATCCTCCTGCCTAAACCCCCAGCAGCGCCATGCATCTGGGCTGGACTCCAGCTCAGCACTATACCAAGGAAAAGAGCGGGAAACCAGGGTGGCTGGTCACTGAAAGTGACAGTGTAGCATGGTTCTTTGCCACTCCCAAGAGGGACCCTCCCCTTTCAAAGACAATGTGGCCATTTTGCCTTTAGAATAACTGCCATGCATGGACCTAGAAAATGTGTCCAATGTGCCCCCCTCATTTAGGATGCTTCCTTCCCCATGGTGGTCACCCAGCCCTCAGATGCCCACTCTGACCCTAGGAGAGCCCCCTAGCCCTCCTGAACTGTGGCTTGTAACAGTAGAAAGCAATGCATATGGTGTGGACTCTGTGTGCTTGTCTGATGGGAATAGCAGTACAGACTGCCTGCAGGAGGCCAGACTTCCAGGAAGGGGCTGTGCCAACTGGGCATGCCCATTTAGTCTATGAACTATGGGAAAACAAGGAAGGAACATAAACTGAGTCTGTAATAACAGCTCTCCGGAGCCATCTCTTTTGGAGGTTCTTAGCACTTAACTGAGAAAGAATGACATTTCCTCTATGAAGCAACTGACCACATTTCACACAGCTGGCGCTTCTAGCCTCCCGCCCCGGGCCACATCCACTCCCCACACCGCTGAGCCGGGAGCGGCAGGCTGGACACTTGTTTCCTGTCCTCTGGGGCCCAGCTCAGTGCTGATGACAGGCTGAAGGCAGGTGGCTGCGTTGCTGATGGGTGAAATAACCCACTCCATTTGTCTTCACCATAAAGTAGACAAAGCAAATATTTCTTATGTGCACTTGACAATAATAAACGACTTGCAGGGGCCTGAGAGGGACTTGAACAGGTTACGACGACCGTGAGCCGACAAGGCCAGGACACAAATCCAGACCTCCCGTGCCCCCTCCCCATTGCAAGACCTCAAAAAAGCCCCAACTCTGCAAGGAGAGAGAAAGCAAGACCACATAGCAAGCAGGAGAGATCACACATGGATGGAGAGGGAAAGCAGGACGCCACTAAATATCCCCTTCCCTTTCCTTCTCTGCTGAGGGCCATGCTGGGACGTGGGAGTTCCGTGCTTGCTACAGACCCAGAACCAGGAGGGGAGGAGAAGGGAGATTGAGCCCCTGTGATATGTCTGCACAACCTCTGCTGGCCTGGGGCTCCTCCACACAGAGGAGGGCAGGAGCCAGAATCACTCCAGCAAGCCTATTGAGTGGGCGCTGGGCCAGCCATCCTCTCCTTCCCGCAGCCACTGGGAGAGCCAGCCTGGAACCTCCCCCCACCCCCAAGATCAGAGCAGCTACAGTGACACAGGAGAGGAGGGAAGGGGAGCAGCCCAGAGCCACCTGCAGTGAGACCCCGTGCTTTCTTCCTGCTGTTCCCGGAAGACCTGCATTCAGCTGGGGGCCTCAGGGAAAGAGGGGAAAGGAGGGAGCCCAGCCCAGCCACTGTTTATGCCGGCTGCTTGGACTGGAAGCTCCCCCAGCAGGGACTGTCCCCTCTTTCCGCTGGTACTTCCTCCACGTGCCCACTGGCTGGGACAAACTGTAAAAGGAGAAGAGCCATAGAGCAGGGCTCTGTGTTGTTCCCCTGGGGTGCTCGATACCCCTTCCATGTTCCCACCAACCTGTACCCCAACAACAAGACTGCAGATAAGACCCTGGAGCTACACAGCCTAAAAGGAGGAAAGGCCAGAGGCAGTGGACAGGGCCCAATCTGTTGACCCTCAGGCTGGGACGGGGGCGCATAACTACACAAGCACAGGAACGTGGGAGGTTGGACTCTCTCCCTCTCCCCCTCTCCTTTCCCTCCCTGAGCTAATGAAGTCTGGAACTCATTGTGTGCACATTGTGTCCCACACTCCAAGGGAGGCAAGGGAAGGGAGGCTGTGGGGCTCAGGGAAGGAGAGGGTTAGGAGGCCAACTCCTGCATGGAGGCTGGTCCCCAGAGAACCCTAGCCCAGTAGAGAGAGACCCAAAGACCATTCTAGGTCACAATACATCCCCAGGGGTACACAGATACCTGCAGAGTGGCCCTGATTCCCAAGGGAATGAGAGAGGCCCTAAGTCATTGCCTCTGACAGGCTCTGCTATTTTATGTCTAACTCTGGTTAAAAATAGCTGCCTAAGCCAAGGTTTTAGCAGCAGCTGACAAGATATTAAGTATTAGATACCTAATGCCCACAAGTGATCACCACAGGTCTCTGCCAGTGTCCGCATCTTGGCTAATGGGAAGCAGGTAGGAAATGGCTGGGAGAAGAGCCCCAGCAGCATCTCAAAGTACTTCCCAAATGTTGGAGCCTGCTGTGGGGTGTGCTCACTGAGCACTCTTGGATGCAAGTCCCGGGGCTCTAAGGGAGCCTCTGGAGCTGACCTTTGGGGAGCCACTGCATATGCCGGCCCTTCTGTTGGCATGCATCTGAGCAGCTGTGTACCAGGCCAGCCAGTGCCTTATGTACAGCGGGCCCAGGAGTCACTGGTCCAGGCCTGGTGCAAACCAGAGGCTGCTGGCTTCTCCCCTGTGCAGACTGGACAGCTTGGCCTTTGCCCTTCACCTCAGAGCTACCTGAATCCAGCAAAGTGTTCAAGGGGGCTTGCTGTCCACACCCCCATAGGAGGTCCCGAGAACAACAAAGGAATCGCAGAGCAGAGCAGCCTTCCGCCTGCAAGCTCAGGCCAGCATTCCAGTGCAGTGTAGGAGCGGGCTGCTATGTGTGCATGGACATTCGCTGCCAGCCGGTCTCCACAGTGCTTAGCTCTTCAGATAAGTTCCGCACCAAGCAAGAAGCTGGAGGACAGGGCATTCGCAGCGGGAAAAGCAAGGACATGCTGGCCCCTCTTGGGGCCTCCTCTGCTCCTGGCCGAGACCTCCCTCCAGGCCAGACAGGGAGACCCCCACGTTCCCACTGCACGGCTTTCCTGGTGGCACCCAGATGGACACCCAGTCCCAGCTTCTCAGCCACCAGGACTGTGGGGACCATTAGCAGAACCCCAACTCTAGCCCTAACATGAGAGCAGCACCACAGGGCTGTGGGTCAGTTCAGAGCTGCCCCCAACAGCCGGACTTGGTGACAGACAGGGGCCAGCTGGGCTCATAGCTGACATTCCTCTCATTTGGGTCTCCTGACACAGTCAGAGCTGAAACATCATTGTGAGTCAGGACTCCCAAGGCCCAGGGGACTCTGTCCTCAGCCACCACCATGGACCTGGGGTTATGGCTCAGCCACATCCACCCCACCTCATCCAGCTGCAGACACGGAGTCTCTGGCGCTAAGCACCAGCCCTCTGCTTTGCCAGTGGCTGGGCTGGAGGCTTTCCTCAGGTACCCCAATTCCACCTACTCCTCACCATCTGTCTGGGTCATCTGGACCCCCATAGGAAAGCAGGCCAAACCCCTACCAGCCCAGGAGGCCTGGCGAACAGCAGAACCCTGGAACAGCCCCCACTTCTAAGTCCGCCTGCTAACCGCCTGCCCGGTCTCTTTTTGGTTTCCAGTGAAAAGCGCCACCTCCAAGTGAACGTCACCAACCCGGTGCAGTGCAGCCTGCACGGGAAGAAGTGCACCGTTTCCGTGGAGACCCGCCTGAACCAGCCCCAGCCTGACTTCACCAAGAACCGCTCCGGCTTCATCCTCAGCGTGCCAGGGAACTGACACCCCACCCGCAGGAGACCCCCGGGCGGGCAGCCCGGCCCCCAGGTAGCCGCGCCCTCGCTCAGCACCCAGATTCCGGTCTGATCGCCGCAGCCCCACTAGATTCACTCGCAAGACTCCACGCCCCGGAGGCCTCCGGGAGGCCTGCTTTCTGCCTTTGGCCTCCATCTACTATCTCAACTTCCCACAGTCCCTGATGCCCATCACAGCCCGGGCTGACATGCCTCTCCTCAGGGTGTTCCTTGAATGGCCAAGTCAGGGCAGTAGGCCTTGGCCAGCGACCAGCGGCTGACCACAGCATGGGGGGGAGGGAGTTGGAGAGGGCCACAGTTTCCCTTGCCAAAGTCACACTACCCGAGGGGACCTGGGGAGGTCTCGTGGCTGTGAGCTAGGGACGCAGCCCTGCCTTGTAAACCCCCAAGGGGACCCCAGCCCCCAGGACCAGGCTTAGAATTCCAGTACCCCAGCAGTCAGCCAAAGCCACAAGCAAAGAGTTTACCTGCAAACCCAGTCCCTCAGCCACACCCAGTCAGCGGCTCTCCTTCCCCGGAGGCTGCTCCTGGGACTCCCCTTGCCTCCAGGGCCCCGGGCTGGCCTCTGGCACATCTCTGGAGAGTGTGATGATGATGCTCCAAGAATTGTCTTTCCCATTGCTGAGGTGGAACTCGAGGCCTCAGACGTGCTAGGCAAACGTTTTACCACTTAAGCTACACTCCTAGTCCTTTCGTTTGTATTTTTTGGATCTCGCTTCACTTTCCCAGGGCCAGCCTTGAAGTCACAATTCTCCTGCCTCTGCTGGATTACAGACATGTGCTACCAAGCCTGGCCTCAAGGATCATTTTGGAAGTAACCTGCAACCTGTGTCCATCTTTCACTTGCTTTTGCAGTCTGCAGGGTTGTAATCAAATATTACTTCTGCTATAACCATAATGTCTAGTAAGAAGATGCAGGTGCCAGCACACTAGGTTTGGCAGCTTCTTCTAACTCCCCTAGCTATGTTCCCTGCTTACCCAAGAACTAGGACAGGGGCGGGGGCCGAAACACAAAGGAACTGCAGGACGTAGAGCAAGGCAGCAGTAGAGAGAGGGATCCTGGCACTGCAGGCCAGGCCAGGGTGCCACCCTATGCTGTGAACCTGCCCTGCTGGAGCCTGGCCCTTGAACCTTCTGCCAGCCGAGTGCTGCCCACTTGCCAGTGTCTGCCCAGCAGAAAAAAAACATGCTTCAGCAGCCTTCCAGAGACACCCTCCCTCCCCTGGCCTCAGCTGCTGAGAATCTGAAGACGTGGAAGCTGGGGTGCCCAGACAGGGCTGCTGGTGGGGAGTCTTACAAAGAGAATCCCAGAGCACACAGTGCAGACAGCAAGGGCCAGGCCCCCAGAGGAGCTTGTAGCAAAGTTAAGAAGAAGGGCGGGGCTGAGGTGTGCTTCACTTCCTGCCAGATGCCACCAGCAGAACTCGAGTGCCTGCGTGCCACTCAGGTGCCTTCCAGGACCCCAGGGGGCTGCCTGGCCTCTCCCAGGGTCTCTCACATACACACCCTCCTCCCCTGACGAGGGCTCGCAAACATTTGCACCACGTGCAGTTCACAACCAGGAATCCTGACCACATCCTGCCCTCCAAGGCTGCTCAGCCACCTGTGCCACGCAGAGCTGCGGCAGACCAGTCTCAAGGCGATAGTGGGCTTGCCAATCACCGGTGGACACTAGCAGAACCATCTAACTGGAACTTCTCTCTCCTTTCCACCCATGCCCCAACCTGTTGCTTCACATTAAACATATGCAGGTTCACGTTTTAAGCACACCAAAACAGTTCATGCCAAATGGGCAGCCTGTCAGGCTGAAGTGGACAGAAGGGTTTGGACTCCATTCCCTTCCACATAGCCTGGGGCTCCTGCAGAGGACACAGACGGCCCCGTCCACAGACACTGACCTACACCTGCACGTGACAAATGAAGGGTCAGGAATGTAGGGTGACGTGCCGAGGGGAGGAGGATGCTGTGATTGTATGCAATGAAGTGAATTCCCCTTGATTTAATTAAACACGGTTCTACGGTTTGGTGCATATATTCCTATTCCCCATTAAATTAACTTTATTTCTAAAGCATATTTTGATTTACCTAAGAGCAATAAAGCATTAAATCTTATTTTTAAATGTGTTCCGCTTATCTGTCGTTAATTTAAATCATGAAATCCTAACTCATCTAAAGTCAACTGTCATCCCACATGATGGGAGAATTAAAAACACCAATGATATAATAAAATGGAGGATCACTTGCCTGGGGCTTACGCACAGAAATACTGAATAGTGAAAAACAGGCTGTGGAAGTAGGGTGGGGGGAGGCGGCCACGGGGTTAAATCCAAACACGGTCATTTTGGCATCAAGAGACATGTTCAGTGAAAGGAACACATGTGTATAAAGGACAGGCACCGAGCCCCTTGGCAGAAGTCCCAGGCCAGGACAGCCTCCTAGCAAGATGGCTGGTTGGAAAGGAGGGAGAAAGGGGAGCCAGCTCTCAAAATCTGCAGGGGGGGGCCTTAGTAGGGAGCCATAGGGCCCCCCCTCACCCCAGTACCCAGGGCCCAGCGGCTATAGGGCACTGACCAGTCATGGGCAGGAAAGTGCACACAGCTGTGGCTTCTGTGACCCTGTGGACGCTGCTGTGAGGCCTAGGGCCAGCAGAGAAGCACATCCTCTCTAACCTTTCCCTGTGGCTGAAGTTGGTGGCAAGCAGACTTCTAGGACACAGATCCTGGATGAGCCAGCCTGGATGACATCTAGAAATACTCATGGGCTGGGTAGCCGCTTACCTGGGTCCCAGGAATGGACCACATGGACATCAGTCCACCCTGCTGGTCTAGGAGCTCCCAGCCAATGAGTGCTGAGCAGGGCCAGGCCCAGGGACACAGGAGAGCAGCAGCCTGGGCCTCAACACGGTAGGCCTATAGTTTGGTTCCCATGCAGGACCCACTTGCCTGCTCCAGCCAGGCCAGGGCCTGACCCTCCTGGGCTCCAGATGCCCACCGATCGCCTCCATGAAGAGCCTTTGGGGAGCACCTATCCAGCCACTAAACCAAAGCCTGCTTAACCTCATTGCTTCCTAAACCACCTTAGTGTACTCGGCCTGCTCTCCAACTGTCCCCACAACACAAATCCAATTTGTTCTAAGTGTATGAACCGGGTATTAAAGATGCCTCCGGCCTGCTTACAAATGACAGACCCACAAAAAAAGCTCAATGTAATGGATGGTCAGTGCATTTTATTGAATCAGCACAGTACAAAAATAAATAAAAATAAGGGGCAGGGAATTAAATCACAGCCAAACTGAGCTTCATGACTGTCAGATTATAAACCACACATCCTCACAAACACACAACACATACATACAAAATGAGACAAGTATAAATTAATATTAACAATACCCACAGTTTGGTCAAAGAATAGCTACGGAAGAAATTGCACTAAAAAAAAAAAACCAACATACACCACATGTGTATAATTAGCGCTTTCAAATACACAGCTATGAAGAGTTCTGAGGGAAGAAAATGGCACATTTTCTTTTCATTCCAAGTTGAACTGTTGGAACAAAACTAAATTCTAATAACTGCATGGAAAGAATATATCAACCCTTCTGGCTTACAAGAAAAAGAGAAAAACCAAATCCTGAACTATTATTCCTGTGGCTTGTTCTCTGCATGGGTGTAATTTTCACAGCCATCTGTTCTAAGATTATTTTTAAGACACAAAATGCTCCTGGTTTGCATGCACAGTATCACTGTAAAAGCAACGATTAAAGAATAAAAGGGTTTTTGTAAGTTAGTTTTTTTTTTCCTTTTTTTTTTTTTTGTTGTTGTTCTAAAAGTAGTCTTCGTAGCAGCATGTCCGATGGGTTCACCGCTTGGACACTCGAGTGTGTCAGCTGTTCCTTTACACAATACTGGTGGACCAGTGCGTGGGGAGGGACCCACAGGCCTCTCATGGCTGGAACGACGAAGTTGTTTCCTTGGTCCCCAGCCACTCTTGAAATGTGCACTTTCTCCAAAAAAAAATAATAGAGAAGGGAACAGACCCCCAAACTGGATTCCTGCGGATGCAACCAAATGGCACAGTTCCAGGTCAGGTTCAGCCAAAGCTCCTCCCCACGCCACCAGGGCCGGCTTTCCTGAGGAGCTCCTAGCTCAGGTCGCATATGGCAGCAGGATCTGACAACAGGCTGCGGTGAGTCTGCACCAGTGGCCACAGGCCTTCCAGCGCTGCGGAGGGTCATCTGACATCCCGGTTGGCTCAGCATGGGCCTCACAGCAGCTGGGGAAAGGCTCCAGCCTGGGCAGGACCTCTTCTCCATCCTGGGAACACTAGGCCAAAAGGCTCTGCTCCAGGCCAGGAGGGCCTCAATTTCACAGCTTTCTCTTTTTTTAATGTGGATTTCAGTAGTGCTTGTAGAAAGTTGCTAGCCACCTAAAACCTACTCCTATGTAAAATGACCTCTGTCAATCCACCCGGATCCCCAGTTCCAGCAACCCCCAGGGACTGGACTGGAAGAGACTCCTCTGTAGCATCTTCACATTGTCCTTTGTTCCCCAAAGCTGGGTTGGGGCACTTCTATTGGACCTCTCCAAGCCACCAGTCTGGGAGAAAGAAAATTGGGGGCTGGAGGTGTGGCTCAGCAGTAAAACACCTGCCTGGCAAGTGCAAGGCCCTGAATTCAAACCTTAGCACTGCCAATTAAAAAAAATAATAATAATAATAAAGAAAAAACAAAAACCAAAAACAAAGTCTGTAAAGTCCACATCATGTGTTCTGCAGCCACTAAGGTAAGCTGGGCACCAAAACCAGCAGCTATGAGTCGTGAAACTGCCACACTTCCAGAGCAATCAGGAGTCACACTCCATCTTGTGATAGTCTCCAAGATTCAGCTGAGCCATGCCGCGCAAGGCTTTCTCTCCAGGAGAAACTGGACTGTTTGGGAACAGCTTTAAATTAACAAGGGTGGGGATGGAGTATACCATTACCACATCACCCCTCACGTGGTCTTATTTCCCCCAGCCCTGCCGGACAAATGTCCCGTGCACCAGCAAAAGGCCTTAGCACTTAGGTGGGCACTGGTTTGACTGCAGGCATAGATGCTCCCAGCCTGAAAAGCAGGCTGTGGCTAGCGGGCACCTGCTGCTGTCCTGGCTTTCCCCACAGTGACTAAGCTGCATTATTCAAATGACAAATTCACCCACGAAAGGAGCCATCCCAGCTTTACCCCACCTTTAGCTGGGACCCAAAATGATATAATCTATTGAGGCCAACCAGCTCATGGACCAACACTAGCGTGGGAAGCTGGGAACAGTGGATGAGGAGAAAAGAGGTAGGCGATTCCAGTAAAGGAAAGCCTTTCTCCCTAAAAGAGGAGACCGCAAACTAGGTCCAAGCATGGTCAACAATGGAACATACGCTTTGCATGAGCCAGGCTCAGCCTTCCTGATCGAAGGTGCCCCAGGGCGGTGGACATCCTGCCTCCTAACCCACTTCAAGGCTTAGTCAGGGCAGCTGTCTCCAGAAGCCCCTGGGAGAATGAATCACCCAAAACAGTTGCCTTTCAGGAAAGGGCCGGCCTCCAACCAGAAATCCCAACTCCTCTCCTGGGCCCACGGGCCAGAGGCCCCTCTCTCCAGCCCAGCCCAGCCCAGCCTGAGAGCAGTGGGCAGCCTCTCCCACCCTGGATCCTACAAGGCCCCAGGTGGACAGGGGGTGGGACAGTCCCTCGAGCTCCCCAGAGTGAGAGGTCTGCGGCCAGGATGGCTCTGAATGCATCCTCTGGCTTTGCACAAGGTTCATGAGTTCAAAAGTCCCCAGACTCCTTGACAGGACTGGGGTTGGGGGAGGGAGGAAGGGAGAGGATAAAACAACAACAACAACAACCAAAAACAAAACAAAAAACCCAAGGAGAAAACTATAGGAAGAGAGAGGCCCTCGGTGGCTTCGCTAGACACATACTGTACACAGAACTTGATTTGTCTCAGTTATAAATTTTTAAAAGTGAATGGAATCCTTGAGCCAGGCCGTGGGCTCCGGCGCTCACCGATCCAGCCCCAGGAGGAGGCGCTTCTTGTCCTCCTGGCCGCTCTCGTTCTTCAGGTCGGAGAACACCTGTGTGAAGTAGTGTGGGTCGGCGTTGATCTGCAGCATCTTGGCGCTCATGAGGTTGATGACGGAGAGGCAGCGGTCCCAAAAGGCCTCCTTGCAGCTCTCCACCAGGAAAGGCTTGAGCGGGTAGGAGATCTCGTTGCCCATGTAGGAGTAGGAGAGGTACAGGCAGGTCAGCAGGACGGCCTGGAGCTCGCGGTCCGAGCCCACCTCGGAGGAGATGACATCCCTGCAGAGCATGTAGAGGAAGACCACGTTGGCCGGCGTGATGAAGCCCTGGTCCTGCCAGCCCTGCAGCAGCAGCGAGCGGTCCACGCTGCGCAGCCAGATCACGGGGTCCGTGGGGGACAGGTGCTTCAGGCGGTAGCACCGGCGACAGAGGAACTCGCCCAGGCAGCGCAGCAGCTCGCTGGTGGACGCCTGGACGATGACCCGTTTGGGCGTCCCCGCGGAGCTGACCACGGGGTGCGGGGCCTTCTTGACGGAGGAGGAGGAGGAGGAGCCCCCGGTCTGGGAGCCCGAGAGCTGGCTGGCCGGGGGCGCGGGCGGCTGGGCCGGCGGGGGCTGGGCGAACGTGGACAGGTTGGCGCACGACAGCGACTTCTTCAGGTTCTCATTGTTGAGGTGCGTGATGTTGTTCTGGTAGCTGCTGTTGGGCTGCACCTTCTTGGAGTTCTTCTTCTTGGCCGACACGGCCACGATCCTCTTCCAGGGCAGCACGGAGATGATGGAGTGCCGCTTCAGGTTCTTGTCCTTGGCGTTCTTGCTGTTCTGCACCGCCGTGTAGTGGCCCACCGTGGCCGCGCCATCCTCAAACAGCGTGGCCTTGCGGTAGCTGGGGGACAGGGACAGCACCGTGCCCATGGTGCCCCTGCGCGCCCAGCCTGCCGGCCGGGGGCGGACAGCGGCTCACCGAGCCCGCGGCGGCCGGGGGAGAGGGGAGGGGGCGCTGCCCACGCGCGCGCGCGCGGCCCCTCCGGATCTGCGTGGAAAACAAGATGGTGCTCAGC